ACCGACCGACGGTGGCAGGGGTACGTGTTCAATGCGCTCATGACGGCAGTGGTCGGGTTCGTGCTGCGGCCGAAGCGGATCGTGTGGTTCTGGACGCTGGCGTGCGTGGGGTTCTGGCACATCACGCTCGTCTCGGAGCCGCGCGACTATCCGCCGCCCATCGGTGCAGCTGTGGGCGACTTTCTGCCGTTCCTCTTTGTCTGCTACGCCATCTGGCGGCTAGCCTTCCGCTTCGTCTGGCCCGCCTTCAGCCACCTCCCGCTCGAGAGCACGTTGTGGACACTCGGATTCTGGTGGCTCGGCGTGCTGCTCAACGTGGTGTTCGACAAGGTGCCCCTGCAGCGACTGGTGGCGCGCGACATTAGCCAGCAGCCCGGCAGTTTGGTTGCGCTCATCGTCATCGTGGTGGTGGTGCTTGCGATCGCGGTGAACCAGGTGCGCGTGATGCGGGCGACGGGCGAGCTGCCCAAGTACCTCTCGCTGTACGCTCTCGGCGGCGTGGGGGTGGGACTGGCAGCGGCGGTGCCGGGCGAAACGCTGCGGCTGCACCACTACATCATCGCGCTCGTGCTGCTGCCTGCCTGTGCCTTCCCCACGCGCCTGGGGCTTGTCTACATCGCCTTCCTGCTGGGCATGTACACGAACGGCATCGCAAGGTGGGGCTTCGATGGCCTGTTGCAGGACAACGCTGTGGTGCAGGGAGACGCCACGGGCGGCACTGCAAGGCCGAGCTTCAACACGACGCCGCAAGACTGGGCGCGGTCGGAGGGGGTGGTGAGGTGGAATGCGTTCGAGGATGGCGGGTGGGACGGGTACCAGCTGCTGGTGGATGATGTGCTGCGCTACGAGGGTGCGCAGACGAGCTTTAATCTGATGAGCGTGGTGGATAGGATGGTGCAGCAGATCGAGGCAGACGGACAGCCGCTCGACACGGCGCCGAGCAACGAGACGATGAGCGCAAAGCACTATGTGCGCGTGGCGTTTAGCGCAGCTGGCAGTCCTGGCGACTTTACGCGTGCGGCTGTAGCTCTAGCCAACGGGACCTGGATCCCCGCCCCATCCGGCGCAACGTAGCGCGCTTCCCCGGCTGCAATGCAAGTAGAATGCTTATTTGCGAGTGTAGATGGTGGTACAGATTGAAGGATGGTATGGTACAGTGATGCTCGGTTTGGCTTTGGGGTCGATGCTGGAGCCTGGGGACTATGCTTTGACGGGCTGTTCGACTTCGATCCAGCCGCCCTTTCTGGTGAGGACGACCTTCTGGCCGACGGCGGAGCGCGGCCTTTCGCGGTCGGATTCTTCGGCCATGGTGCCTCTGGTGGGCGCGCGCGATGCGGGGCACGGGAGGATGGTGGAGGCCGAGAGCGAGACGGTGAGGAAGGCGGCGGCGAAGGTGGCGATGAAGAACGACGAGGTGGCGAGTCGGCGTGTGCGCACCGACGAATTCGCAAGGCGGCCCCACATTGCGTCGCGACGCTGGGGGTTCTCGGTTGCCTATGAGTAGTCGAGGTGCGAAGGTGTTGGTGGTTGGGTGTCGAGAAGAAGAACTTTTGTGCAACCCTTTCGGATTGTCGACCCCGGAAGCCTTCGGACGCGCGCCCGATTTGTCAGACACTCGCACGAGAACGAAGACACTCAACAAGTGTTGGTCACGTCGGTGTAACATTGCTGAAGATGAAAAAAAGGTCGCTAGGCGTCTTGCGGTGCACATCGACGTCAGATCGCCGCTTTAGGCGGCAGGATAAGCTTCGGACAGCGCTAAGCGACGGGCGCAATGCACTACTTGTGCGCCGCTCCGAGGCCGGACCTCGTCGTCGGACCCTGTCGTCGGAGCCACGGCTCAGGGCGGCGAGAGCAGCTAGCCCGAAATGGAAGGTCGGCACACAAACAAGCCTCCGCCGCCGCCGCCGCCGCCGCCGCCGCCG